AGACTTTAAATTTCAAAAGTTTTTTTGCCCTTGTGGGGGGCCCCTCCCTTTGTCTCGGGGCATGGTGTCCGCCTGATTGCTAGAGGTTCGGGGTTTAAATCCCCGGAAGGGCCATGTTCTTTTTCTTTTGGATTGGATTCTAGAAAATTCCCCTTTGGTCGCTGGGTAGTGCGTTCGGGCCCGCCCTCATATGCATTTTGGTCTGGCTGCATTCTCACTAGATAGCTGAACCATTTCATTCTTTGTCGGTCAATATAATCCACACATGGTCTTATTTCATCTTTCTTCTTCATGCTGTCATTCATAACCCTGTCCCTCATTGTGTTGTAATGCATAATCACTACACGAGGAATTGAAACGTGGTTAGAGAAAAGTACAGTATGTGAGGGAAATCTACACACATCAGGAGTTATTAGTATTTCGTTTCCCATGGGGATTCCAGAGTTCCGTTACAGGGACCACCAAAAGAATTGACCAACCGCTTCCTTACAAACATGTCGTAAAAGTCAACTAATTAAGAGTGTTTCCTCCAAAGTACATACCAATAAGCGGATCTGTGAAAAGGATTCACGCGCACATTAAGTGCTGGAACAAGAGTAAAGTCCAGAAGTAGACGAACAACCAAGACTTTCCTCTGGAACAGTACACAGTACTGGCACCTTTTCAGACATCTTGATCTCAGCGTTACTGCAATAGACACTGTATGATTGTACCAGCACCTTTTGTTTTAAAACAAATTCTTGCTAATAATAATAGTAATAAAGTTCTGAACGGCACAAATACATAATAATATCAGTGAAACAATATAAAATGTACAATCAAGTAATTTGAAAGGTTGTTGCGTATCCTTTACAGGACGTTGCAGAACCAAACCTAACAGCCCCTGGCTGTTGTGTGGTTTCTCTAGGCAAATTACGTCCAGTAGTTTGCCATTGCTTTCTGGACGGTCGGCTTTCTTGATACCACTGTCGAAACTAACGCAAGGCGCATTGCCCGCAGCTGGGATCGAACCCGGCATCCCTGCATTACGAAGCGAAGTGTTCGCATACAATCAAGTACTTATAGAAAAAGATACCTCCTTCATATGGTTGTGGGTCCGAATAGGCTGGCACTGGATCTAGTTGCTTACTGTCGAGCCGTGATTGGAGCGACATTCTGCAATGGATCCGCTACTTGATTTGTATGATGATGATGACATGCACATAAAGAAAGATTGGCATCTTGTCTCTGAAGCTGACATATTTTGTTCACATGAAGTGCCGTGGTGGCTTGGGGAAAACAAATTGCAGAAGGTATGGTACCAGAAGGTATGGTACCAGAAGGTATGGTACCAGAAGGTATGGTACCAGAAGGTATGGTACTAGAAGGTATGGTACCAGAAAATATGGTAAAAGAAGGTATGGTACCAGAAGGCATGGTACCAGAAGGTATGGTACCAGAAGGCATGGTACCAGAAGGTATGGTACCAGAAGGTATGGTACCAGAAGGCATGGTACAAGAAGGTATGGTACTAGAAGGTATGGTACCAGAAGGTATGGTACCAGAAGGTATGGTACCTGAGGGCATGGTACCAGAAGGTATTGTACCAGAAGGCATGGTACAAAAAGGTATGGTACTAGAACTTATGGTACCAGAAGGTATGGTACCAGAAGGTATGGTACCAGAAGGCATGGTACCAGAAGGTATGGTACCAGAAGGTATGGTACCATAAGGTATGGTACCAGAAGGCATGGTACCAGAAGGTATGGTACCAGAAGGCATGGTACCAGAAGGCATGGTACAAGAAGGTATAGTACCAGAAGGTATAGTACCAGAAGGCATGGTTCCAGAAGGTATAGTACCAGAAGGCATGGTACCAGAAGGTATAGTACTAGAAGGCATGGTACCAGAAGGTATGGTACCAGAAGGCATGGTGCCAGAAGGTATGGTACTAGAGGGTATGGTACCAGAAGGCATGGTACCAGAATGTATAGTACCAGAAGGCATGGTACTAGAAGGTATAGTACCAGAAGGTATGGCACCAGAAGGCATCTTACCAGAAGGCATAGTACCGGAAAAAATAGTACCAGAAGGAATTGTACCAGAAGGTATGGTACTAAAAGGCATGGTACCAGAAGGCATTGTACCAGACGGCGTACTAGAAGGCATAGTACCGGAAGGCATGGTACCAATAGGTATAGTAGCAGAAGGTATGGCACCAGAAGGCATCTTACCAGAGGGCATATTACCAGAAGGCATAGTAACAGAAGGCATTGTACCAGAAGGTATGGTACCAGAAGGCATGGTACTAGAAGGTATGGTACCAGAAGGAATTGTACCAGAAGGTATGGTACCAGAAGGTATTGTACCAGAAGGTATGGTACCAGAAGGTATGGTACCAGAAGGCATGGTATCAGAAGGCATGGTACCAGAAGGTATGGTACAAGAAAGCATGGTACTAGAAGGTATGGTACCAGAAGGTATGGTACCAGAAGGCATGGTACCAGAATGTATGGTACCAGAAGGTATGGTACCAAAAAGCATGGTACCAGAAGGTATGGCACCGGAAGGTATGGTACCAGAATTGAAAGGCAAGTGCCGACCAATACGAAGATGATGGGCACATCATATAAGTTACTGAATATGACAGTACATGAGGTGAGGGAGGTGGCGAGATACCTAGTTTCTTTCAGGCAGACCGTGATGACCACAACGTTCTGCAAAGGCACAAAGGGACTGCTACATGATGGTGATGATGATGATGATGATGATGGTGAATATTTACGACATAAAAAGTTAAGTAACGCCAATATGGCACTAAAAGCGTTAACATTGCCGTTGAATATTTTCTTTGTCTGTGGCACAACATCAATTGTTCCCTGTGAGATAACATCATCGTCTCCCTTATCTCCCTCCCCGGATTTGTTATTCCGCCAACATTAAACGACCAGATAAATAGCAGACGTCTAGATGCTATGTATGTGATGTAAATACCTATAATGGTCTCAAGTTACCTCTGCAGAGGGCCTACCTTGAATCTCTGAATCGCAGACCCCGTGTGTACTTTTCATTCCAATCTTCTTCTTCTTATTCAGCGTTAAAAGGGCGGTTAGCACGTTGTGTTTTGGTTTTCAGTTAGGTTCTGATATCCTTGCGACCCAACACCTAATTTCTTTCTCCTACTTAAAGTCCATGCCGTGTGGCGTAGGTAGTCATGTCTATCCACAAACTTTTGTCTTGTGTACTTTCAGTCAACTCTGACACAGATGATATTCCATGCCAGGATGCGAAACAGTCTAGTATCTGTTCTCTCAGTCTCCGTCTCCGTCTGCCTCTCCTCCCCTCCAACTTTTCTACCGTCACGATGTACTCCAGTTTTCTCCTTTTCGTCACATGACCACAGAATGTAGATTGTTTATTTCTAATGTAGGCAGTCAGTTCCTTTCGTATCTCAGTTTATCATCATACATATATAAAATCACATCTCCGCAGCTTCCAAATAAGTTTTCACCAATTTACTAACTGTCCATGATTGACATCCGTATATCAAAATAGGATTTATATAGTTTTTGAGAATTCTCTTTCTCATCTCAACTGACAAAGAAAGATTGCAAACAAATATTCTTCATTTTGTAAAATGCTGCCTTTGCTTGAGTAATTCGACATTTAACTTTCCTAAGAAAGAGGGAACAGACCCTCTGACACATCAGAGAGAGATACATCTGATGTGTTTAGGGTATCTATTTCAGCAAATGCCTTAACTAGTCGTCTTTTAATGACATGGTTTATAGAGGCAGTGTGTCTTACCGCGCCCCTTTCAGCGCCCCTCCCTCCCTTCCCCCCCCCCCCGACTAAAATTATAATAATAGTGATAAGTGGGGACCGGAATCTACACGGAGTATCCTAAACAGTAACAACATTTACTGATAGTTTTCTTAGATTTTGAATATTTTTGGGTGACTACTATTGTTGCGATTCCCAAAAAGATTTATAATGTGTAGTTTGTTACATTAATTGGAGTTATCAAGAATGTGAAGTTATCTAGTTCCTAAATTGGTTTATGCTTTGTTATCAGGTATGTTATTGCTTCTTTTGAGTATCCAGTCAAAAAGCAGAACGTTTTTCTTACTTTGTTTTTCGGTGTTTATTTTCGTGTACTGTCAATTCTTAATGTACTTGTAGATGACTTGTAAATTTAAACAATGATGTCCTTCCTGTTCAAGCCATCTGCATCCCATTTGATAAATTTAGTATTTTTCCTTTGTTTCTGTTTTGATATTGGATACTAATGGTTCTCAACTCCTTTAGAATTTTTCCATTACATTATTTAAGTATACTTCTAAAATATTAAAGTAGTATAGACTTATATTTATTTCAAGTACACGTTTTAAAGTAATCTTGTTACTCGTAGTGCGTAATCTAACTTTGGGAATAGTAAAACTGATTTATAATAGCATTGCTATTAGTTAAGAAAATCACATATGTGTCAACATCTCATTTGTAAACATGTGTTCCTGCAATGCACACTCTGATACTTCCCCAAAGTTCACGATCTCCATCTACCAAGCAGGCGTTCTACTTATATACGCTTTTTGAAGGCAATGCAATTTTTTTGTTTCATATACAAGAATTATTAAAAAAATTTTGAAACCCTATCCTTGTTGATTCCGAATTCCTGTAATTGTCCTTACATTGCAATATATTTTTCCGTACAGTAGATGTATTACAGAAACTACTTCACAAAAGTAACTTTTGCTTGGCCCAAGGCGGTCTTTTCTTCCCTGTCAGTACTGCAGCACTGGTGTATTTCATTAGAGCAATTTTATAGTGCTACTGTAATCGACGCGGCGTCCGTGGCTTAGGCGTGGCGAGTCCGACTCGTAATTCTAACGTAACGCGATCGAAACCCACCGTTGGCTTATAAAATGTATTCCCTCAAATTTAATGGTTTTCTTCAATACGACATAGCTGATTCAAAATAACAAGTCGATGTTGTTTTGCTGACATTCAGTTAAATTGATTTAGTACATAAAAAGCATTATTTTTAGAATGCAGCTTTTCTTGCTTTATCCTTCTTGTTATAGGGATGGCTAAATCCAAAGTAGGTAGAAAGTGCTTGCTGGAATAATCGGGAGAAGGAAGAAACAGACAGATCAAAGAAAATAATATGCCCTAAATGTATCATAAAAGTCACATGTGTTATTTTATGACAAGTGCAGAAATAAGAATATCTAGATCCATTGATAACATCCTACGAAGGATGTATCACAGAAATCATCTATAGAATACGAGAGCCTAAAACTGGATTTTTATAGAATAGGTTCAAAAATATAAATCTAATTATTGCATGCTATATAAACCCAATTTATACATATGGATGCGAATCCTGAACAATCTTTTGAAGCCTCGGAGATGCGATTTTACAGAAGAATCTGAAGAATTTCTTTTAGAACCAACGAACGAACAAACAAACTTTTGTTTCAAGGGTTACAAATTGGACACGCAGGCCCATCTGACATTAGTCCCTTCTAAGCACTCATTTTTCAAAATACAAATGCCTGTTATCAATATTGCATGTTATGGATGAGCCACAAAGAGCAAATCCAGATGTTTTAAAAGTGGCGAGGGTTCGAAGACAACCTGTCAGAAACAACAGAAAGAGACAAGACATCGTTCTGTGATCTATTTTGAGAAGAAGGAAACTGGGGACATGTTATGACCATTAGAAAGATCTGTAGAAAAAGAAGACGGAAGAAGACAACGCAAATTGATTCCTGACAGCCTTTTGTCACGGCATGAAGGGATATCAGCACATGACAAGTTGTTGGAGATCGCAGATTGTGAAGAGACAGGATCTCTAGAACGAACAGGAGCATTGATCAGTATACGTAGTTTTACTATCTAGTTTTAATTCATTAGTTTGTCAATCACTTCACTAAACGGTCAGTGCTTTAAACTACTAACGAATTCACGGCAAATTAGTCTTCTGCCAAATCCCCTGAAAGCTGAATCAAACCAGGTAATTCTGAGAAAAAATAAAAGCGAAGTACGTTAGCAGCTCCTAAGCCACAGACACCATTCTACTTTACAATCACCCATCTATGTCTGGGATCGACCCTCAGTTACATGACTAACTGGTAACTAGACAACTTTAGAAAAGTAATCCTGTCTGGGATCGACCCTCAGTCGCATAACTAACTGGTTATTAGACAACTTTTTGAAGAAGTAATCCTGTCTGGGTCACACCGACCGCCATCATCCGTCCAGTATAGTTGGGTTAGGAAAAAGTGGGATCAGTATCATATACTTAGCTGCTAGAATTGTAAGATAAAGGAATAAAGGGGACGCTGAAACTAAGAACATTGACTGGAAAGGGCCAAGGGGATGGTGGGGGGGGGGGGGGGGCGGGGGGGGGGGGGGGGGGGGGGGGTAGCCTGCTAACCGATTTTTATTGAGGAAGGGCTTTATGAGTATTATCCATGTTTAAAAATGTAGTAATAATAATAAACTATATTCTAACTATACAGCAGATAACTAGCACTAGAGCATGCTGCCGAAACGTTACACAACACCAGTTCTGACAGCCACCAAGTGGCCATCTTCTCAGATACTTTATCGGTGCTGCAAGCCCTCATTAGGCTAACTCTCTCTCTCTCTCTCTCTCTCTCTCTCTTTTATTGCTGCTTCAAGTTTTAGAGCCATATAAAACGACTGGTCTTATCAACGTTTTATATATTTTGATCTTGGTGTTGCCAGACAGACACTTTGACTTTAGCAGATGTTGAAGGGCATTGTATTCTAGATTGTATTTCTTCTCTCAGCATGTTGGAGCAGTTGAAGTTTGCACTGAAGTACTTATATGTTTCTGTTCGTTTGCTTTTTATATTATCAATTTGATGTGGTTGGAGTTTATATTCTTTCCATGTCTAGTTAGTATTTGTACAGAAAAGTAAACATTTGAAAACATTTTATGTTTTTCATCATTCAGTCAGTATTTGGTAATTAATAAATAGGAATGAAAGAATCCTAAGTATTATAACAAGTAACTAAACTTGGAAATTGTCACTGACAGATTAGTTCATGCAGGAAAGCTGCATTAACTTTCAACAAAACCATTCGTTCAATATTGTCAGCATTAAGGCCGTGTATGCAGAAGTGGGTGTAAGGTAACTACTATTCGTATTCGGCCCGACCGCAACTATTCGGACGAATACCGAATAGTCAATAGGTCCAATATTCGGCCCCGAAGCGAATACGAAGCGAAAATTCAGTACAGCCCTAAAAAATACACATTTAGGAATACCACCATATACCTTTTTCCCATTTTACATTATCATTGTGTTATTTAGTTGTCCCCTTCTCACGGCGTTCACAAAGTTTGTAGATTTATGTTTGTATACTGACCGTCTCTTCAAAGAGCAGCCCATTTGTTTTATGAAAGAGCTCAAAGACAACTGATAACAGAAGTTAGAAAGATTAAGTCATTATTTTTTGGACACGTTATGAGAAGAAATAAACTGAAACCTGTTGTGACCACTGGAAAGATCTGTGGAAAAGAGACAGAGGAAGACAGCGCGAGGATATTTTGGTTTCCTTTTGTTTTGGCATGGAGGGGTATCAGCACTTTGTTGAAGATGAACTTACCAAGATGGCTGCCCAGTAGCGTACTTTACTCCAATGGGTACTATCCCATTGAAGTATATCAGGAAACGAAACCGCGAATAAGAAAGGTGCAGAATGTGAGCATGAAGAGAATGCAGTAATACACTTTGAGAAGAAAAGGGTCATCTAGTCTGTCAGAAGTGAACAAATTCTGGTTCAGAGATGACTACCACTTACTTGACCGGCATGGGCAAGTCATTATTCTATGCCTCAGGACAGGACATTAAAAAAATATGCACAGCCTTTTTCTAAGTAGTTCACCTCTAGGCCACTGTAGTCTG